GCTTAGCAAATGTCAAAGCAGAGTCACGTTTTCAAGGTTCTTTTATATCTGAAGTACTTGACAAAATATCCCCTTGGGGAAGGTGAGTGGAAAGAAGCTCTGATAAAATGTTTATATCATATTTTAAAGTAAGAGATATATTTTTAACTTATTTATTATTTTATTGTGGTATCAGACTTGTGTTTAGTGTTTACACTGGTATTTTGTAGCTTTATTTAGTAAGTTAAATTTGCCACAGAAATTGTGCGCCTGCTACTCCCAGTGAGCTCATTAAGCCCTAGCTCAGTTCTCCTAGCAGGTGTCCTGTCAAGCAGCGCTCACTCCCTGGTGCTGAGGGAGGAGGCCTCCCCAGGAGCTTTGTTTCTCTGCTCTTCGTGCCTCAGTTGCCGCGCTCTTGGGGGTGGTTCCGCGGCTGCCCGCGAGAGGGCGCCCTGCCGTTGTCAGCAGGCATCGCAGTGCTCGCCCAGGGGCGCGCGGAGCTTTCCTGACAGATGGCCCACTTGGGAGTGGGGTGACCTTTCGTGATGATTACTGTAATCCCTGGAAGACGGGGATGCGTCCCTCAGAACACCATTAGCCTCCTGTAAGGGTTCGCAATGAAGCTGTCACCCGTGAATTGCTGTAACTTGCGTTCGAGTCGCCTCAGGCTCAGGCCGTGTTTTGAAAGAAGAACATAGTAAATGTATTGTGCGCCCAGCGAGCCAGAGCAGATCCTGCTCTGTTGCAGATGAACCCCTCGGTTTCCACAGTGATGCGCAGTTCTAGGGTGCACCAGACCTTGTTCCCAAGTGGGTTTTCTGCATCTCCGTATGCATCTCCCCGTGGGAAACCTACGCACGGAAGGGTGGGAGAGTTTCTCAGTTTTATTGGACGATCATGTTTTAAGTAGAATGAAATTTAACCTTTAATTCTTGGACAAAATAGTTACAGATGTCACATTTCATAAATACAGTGCTGTGTTCACGTCACCAGGGGCTGTGTCATACCCAAAACTTGTAGTGTTAACCGCGGTAAAAACAAGGTAAATGTTAATTGGGGAAATAAGAATTAAAACAACTAAAGAACTACATAGGTTTTTTTAATTGTTAAAACTACTCCAACCACATTTTCCACTGGACTTAGAACAGGGTAATGTACTATGCCTTCGTTGATTTAAACAAAGTGATTTTTCAATTATAATCTGGTAAGGTGTCTTCTTTTCCTACTGACAGCTCATGAAGCTTTTCTGCGGCCTTACTCATTTAGAACTAAGATTTCTTTAGGAAATTTACTTCCAATTCAGTGTCATGAAATGGGATGTTATCTTCTTTTGGCAAAATTCATCTGCCTTTTTATAGATAGCATTTACCCAGCATTCTGATAAAAATGCAGGCCTGTGCCTTGTTTAAATGAATGCAATTTGTAAGACTTCATGTTCGTGAGTTATATATTAGGGTAATTGTGTGTATTACCAGGGATCCTATACAGTATAAAATAATTTATTGTAAGATTTTTCCATTTAAAATTGTCTTGATATTAACTAACTTATCCATTCTCAGGAAAAAATATAAGAAGCAAATCTTATTTCCTTATCTGTTTCCACATTTCTCTCATCTTTAACTACCCTAGTATATTCCTAACTCCTGTAAACATAATGGCTTAAATACTGAAACTGTGGCAGCTTGTTAGGTGATAAAAAATCTTAGGTAACATTTTCGCTGTTAGAAGTCCCGCGGCCTTGTGCTCCGGAGTACAGGTTGCCTATTAAGGTGACATAATTTTAGGTGTTTTAGCTTTTCTGCAACAACTTACTAGCTGTGAAACTTTAATGTGGTTATTGTTTATAAAAATTTTATAGTCAAAATTATTTGTCTTTATTTTTTTAGAGTGTGTCAAGAACATGTAGTATTTGCTTTTTGAAGTACATTTGACTACTTAGAGTTGTAAAGTATCAGACAATTGCAGTTCTTTTTGCACTGGGAAAATGAATACTACCAGCATGTCAGAAGAAAAATAATTTGCATTTGTGATATAAACTAAAATTGTAGCTAATGTATGTAATAGGATTTTTAATTGCACTAGGAAACTTTAATGGTTATGATAATTTACAAATTAAAGTGGATCTGAATACATAATTTTGACCAAAAAAGTCAGGGGATAGGTAATAGTTTGGGCAGCTTTCCTTTAAAATGATAATATTGAAGCAAGAACCAGCACTTTGTATGTAGAAATATTGTTTTTCTTTTTTAAATGTTTACCTGATTTAGGATAGTGGCTTATTTTTTAATTTTTTTTTTTTTTTTTTGGAACCAGGGATTGAACTCAGGCCCTTGCACTTTCCAGGGAAGTGTTTATTCCACTGAGCCATCTCCTTGGCCCATAGGCTTATTTTTTAAATAGAATTTTTTTTTAAAGTTTTTTGATTTTTGTCCCAATGCAACAGAAGGTAAAATCAGCAACAACACAAAAGAAATGTAGTTTCACTTTTGAAACTTACACCTCGCCTTCCTTGGACCTTTCTGAGGGCTGTCTCCTGTCTGCCCACCACGTCCTCCCAGGCTCTGCAGGTGGGCAGGCAGGGGCGCAGAGGTGGAGGCCGGCCTGGGCTCTGGAGCCGACCCTGCCTCAGAGAACCAGCCCCACGTGGCCGAGCTGACTTGCTGAGCCGTGGCCGCTGGGCGCAGGGCCTAGGTGTGATTTAACAGGCCCCCAGACCTGAAATCAGAACTTGAAAGCTGCCCGTGTGGGCCTCTGTGTTCACCCACAGCTTCCACCAGAATACTTTGTAGAAGAATTAAGTTAATTGGGTGTCAGACTGGTCTCCCTTCACTCTGCTGCTATCTTGCCCCAGACTGACCTTCTATAGAGACTGCAAACGTCTCCTCCCACCCACATAGATGTGTTTGCTGCAGTGTAAGAGCTGGTAGCCACGGTTTGTGCGCGGAACTGAAGGCTTTAGTCCGATAATGGCGAGGAGTTTCTTTGGGGCTGGTAGAGGGGACCCCAAGGGATCACAGCAAGGGGCGTGACCTAGAAGGCTCCTCCTCACCTCCTGGAGGCCCTGCAGCCCCATGTGGGCCAGGTGCAGCCCAAGATTTTAGCAGCTAACGCACTTCCTCTGGCCTGTATTTCCAGCACTTGGGAGGCTGAGGCAGGCAGATCCTTGTTAGTTAGAGACCAGTGTGGGTACAGAATGAGTCCAAGGCCAGCCTGAGCTGCATAGTGAGGCCTTGGCTCAAAAAGAGCAAACATACAAAATAAAGAGTTCCTCTGTTTAAAAGTGACTCTACTCTTTTTAGGTTTTTTTGTTTGTTTTTGTTTCTGAGACAGTTTCCACTATGTAGTCCCGGCTGGCCTAGAATGCTCAGTGGTCCCAGCGGTGTGCGCTCCCACGCCAGCTGATCTTAAGGGTTTGGGAGCCACTACTTTAAGGTCTTTTATCACCTGTTGGATTTTCTGTTGATTTTACATTTTCAGACATGCTTATCACCGGAAAGGCTGCTCTGGAGGCCCCAGATGCTGCTTGGAATGTGGCTGGCTGCCCGTTCCACCGTGTCTGAGAGCATCCTGCTGCACAGTGCAGCACCAAGCCCAGCTTCTCTTCCTGTTTGTAATTTGGGCATGGAAGTGACCTGCGTACTTAACTGATTTCTATGTAAATACAGATATTTAGTCTGGTAGACCTGACAGTGTAGCCAGCGAATGAGGCTTGTAGGTCTCAACTCACATTCCAAGATTCTGCAGGGAGAACGCGGCCAGGCTCCTCTGAGCCCAAAGTTCACAGACTGGAGTGCTGCAGCTGCCCTGGAGCTGGAGCCCCCTGGGAGCGGGCCCTGCAGCCCGGCCCCGTCTGGTCTGTGCTGCAGCCACAGCGGAGGCACCGCCTGGGGACTTTGTCATCTCCTTTTGTCAACTGGTGACTGGTGGATGTTGGAAAGAGACAGCCAGACAGCTCAATTGCCTTCCTGACCCCTCAGGCATCGCCCAGCAGGAGGACGCCCTGATGGGGAGCAGGCTGTGGTTGGAAGTGGCAGCTGCTCTGGGCACTGCAGCGGAGGGCACCTCAGCTCCCTCCCTTCCTCCCAGCTACAGTCGCACACTCCCCCTGCACCCTGTCCCTTGATTGCCTCCTTTTGGGCCTGTACCACGGTCACTGGCCAGACAGAAATGTGGAGTGAAGCACTTGGTATGTTGGACATGCTTGCTTGTTTTTAATAAAATGAAAAGCACAGTGCTTAGAACATGTGGCCTTTAAAAGTTTGCGTGGCTTCTGTAGCCTGGGACACAGTATGCACACACTTGGGAAAAACACCCCCCATGCTTGCACCTGGCCCCTGGCGTTGTCGCAGGCAGCAGTGCTGTGCAGTGGGCCGGTGCGGGAGGAGCTGGGAGCCCCCGCCCACCCGTGGGCAGCGCCCACAGCTCACTTGCTTCCCCGGGGCTGGCCTCACCTCTGCACCTGCCTGGGGTGGAACCTCAGCAGGCTGTGGGTACCCTGGGGCTGAAACGAGGCCCATGCTACCAGCTGCTGCAGCAGGTTTTTGTGTAAAAACGGAAATGCAGGCTTTTTATGCAAATTGGGCTGCTGTAGGGTTCTGGTGCCAGTCGCTGGGAGGGTGCACTGCACTCTGCGGCCCACCCGCCACCGCCAGAAGTGTGGGTCCCTCCAGCTGACTTTTTTTCCTCCACCTGGCTCTCCTCAGCTTCATGGCCTGTCTCCTGTGACCCAGCTTGCACACAAGTGTGTGACGTGTGGCTTTTTTACTTTATTATAGATTAGAGGAAAATTCTGTGCTCCTTTTTCTTTTCAGTTTTAGCTGGACAAGTCTTTAATTTTGAAATTTAAAAAAATCCACTGATGAATTGCATGCAGGGAAATGGTGTTGAAGACAGAGACTTGATTGGTTTTGTTCTT